ACCCTATTTAGCTTTATGGCAACATATTTGTGTTATGGTTTATTAAATTATCGAACACGTAGTTATAAAATTATAACTACGTGTTCGATAGAATAAAATGATCTTAATAGCAAAATTTTTTACTTGATTTTTTTTATCGTTTTATTATTGCCAACTTAAGGCGTTACCAAAGGCCAACGAGAAAGACAGCCAGGGCATGTTTTAGTCACGTGACTAACTTAGTGCTGTTTAGTGCCTCTTGTGTTTCGCTACACATACTGTACGTTCGAATTTCGAAAGGATAATTTCAGTTAAAAGAAAAGAAGTAACTACAAGTTTTACAGCACTTTTGTTTTAGAAAATCTGTTGTTTTATTCCTTAGATTATAACATTTTATAATATCTTAGTGAGTATTCTTTTCAAATTTATGATTAGTAATGTTTGTATTAATAGTTAGGCGTAAATGTTAACAATCTGTTTCTATCTTGCTTTGATCTTTCTTAATCGAAGTATCAACTAATAGTAGTCATTTTAGTTATTTTCTGTCTTTCGAACATTTAAATTTACTAGTTTAGTAATTTTTAAATATTTTGTTTAAAAATTATTAAGCGTAAAGTAAAAGTTAATTATTTTAAATATACATTTAAAAAATTAACTTTTACTTTACTTTACTATATATTACTATATATATATTATGGTGTGTACCATATACAGTCGACCCCCCTATAACACGGGTTCCTATAGTTCGGATTCTTATATTACGGCGAAAAAATTGCGACAGTATTCGTACGAACATGCTAAAAAAACTCGCATAATTAGGTAAAACGTCACCGCCGACTCGTGTCGCGACAGGATTGGTCGAATCTAGACCAATAACGGATATTGTACAAACCGTTGAGTTTAAACGAGCAGCGGACCTACTAAAAACCATTTATTATTTAACATCCATAAAAATTATATTTATATTAATGATGTCACCAAAGTTCAGCGAATTTTTCGCAAAAAAAATAATTTATCAGAAAGCACGCGAACGCCATTCGATGACAAGCTCCACGACGAAAACAAGCTTAAGCAATGGCGTAGTCGAACGGCGCACACTCGGGTAAGTAATCCTACAATTTTTTGTTTATAGCATAGTTTATATAGATTATTCCCAAAAAATTATACGTATTTTGGAAATGTTGAGTC